TCTTTTATATCCAACCTGAATCGAGTTCGTTTCTTAAATCTTTTATTTTCACCCTTATTCGGGTTTGTTTCTTAAGTCTTTTAAATTGAACAGTGATGAGGATCTTTCGGAGCTCTTTGGCTTCGTTTCTAAAGTCTTTTAATACTTAAGTTTTTTAAATCCATCAAGGGTGTGTTCGTACTTAAAGTACTTTAATTTTATCTTTCGAAAAGTTTGCTTCTTAAGTCTTTTGGAATATCCGCTCTCAGGTTTGTGTTTTAAGTAAAATATTTTGTTCCAAAATTATGGAATTATGATTAATAATAATTTTTTTACCGAGATTACCTACATTTTGAAAAGAAATGTTGACCTACATATTAGATCCTATAAGTATTGTATTTCCAAAAAAGTTTGGCTTAATTGCAGAACTTAAAAAAAAAAATTTTTAAATAAATTGCCAAATATAATATGTTCAAATAACAAGCCCTCCGAGTTTAAAAAGCTTGCACTAATCAATTAAAAGCTTCTTAGTTCATTGTAGGCATACAGAAGGTATCAAAGGCGTTGATATAATGGCTATATTCTAATTTATTCTTAATTCCTAAAATATTTTAATTAAATTCACCTCACTCAGATGCCTTTCAAAAAGATCTATCTACAATTATGCACTAAAAAAAAGTACTCGCATTTATTTTTAATTTTCCGAAATGTAATTTCCACTAAACTACTATACAATTCCGCACCTAATGACCCCGCAAAATAAACGCTTTTTACAAAGTTATTACAAAAATTGTACGAAAAGTCGCAGCACTCACTAAATTTCAGCCAAATTATGCAGCCGCGAACTGCCGGCAATTGCTCATGCACAGCTATTACAAAGACAACGCTTGCGCAAATGGCAACCTGCCATGCCTGACGGGCTTCCCTATGATTATCAATTGAAAATGGTTCTTTCACAAACGCCCACTGAGGCCGGCTTGGGTCAAAGGCCAGGCAGCCGCCTAAATAGTTAGCTTAGAAGGGAAAATAAATGCATAATAGGCGCACGAAAACACAAAGCCAAACGAGATGCCGCGAGTTGGAAGGCGCGTGCGCATGCGCCACGCCACACAGCCACTGATTGCTGCTGTTCACCGCTGGCTGCCGTCGGTAGCTGTTGGTCGCTTGTCGTCAGCAATTTGCGCTTTAATTAAATTGAAGCTCGCGGAAAAAAAGACAACAGCAATGAGCTTACAAAAATAAACTGAAAATTTCATAATGCAACCGAAAATAAATTGAAATACATAAAATGTAATGAAAATTCAATTGTCAGCTGCACACAAACAAACACTTAAAAGAGCTCAAAGCCAAGCGTAAATTTATAATTGACGCGGCCGCACTGGCGCAGAACAACAATTATAACTGTGTTTGAATGTATTTAGGTGTGTGTGTGTGTATTGAGAGTGGCATGCAACTTCGGCATGCGCTTCAGTTTTGTTTTGTTGCCGCCTGACAGCTGACACAGCAACAAGCTGCCTATTTGGCGCATGACAGGCCGGTGATTGTGGTGGAGTCGTATGAAGAAGAAGAAATATTCAAAATATTTAAATTGGAAGCAAAATTGTAAAGAAAAAATAATTTATGCATTTTTTAATATTTTGCGCTTAGTTCCACTAATGATTGCGCTTTGCATTCGCGTTTTATTGCAAATTTTCACGTTTTTGCTTCGGAATTATGAAAAATATGATATTTTTGGCTAATAAGTTTGAAAGTGAAAAGTTTTGGCAGTTAATCCTTTGCCATAAGTTTAGTTTATCTTTCGAAGCTTCATTTAATAAAATTCACTTGTAATTTTTGCATTTGTGGTTGCTAATTTTAGTGCGCATGCGCAACATTTTAGTTATATAACAGTGTCTTTGAGTTGGTCTGCGCTAAAAAAAATATAAAAATATCATTTGTATATGTATACATCTAAAATTTGTCATCGTTACTCGTAGTAAGGGGGATGTTTCTATGAAGTGCTTGTTAGGAAAAAAGCGTATATTAAAGCTTTTGCTATAGCTTTAAAGCTTGCGTTTATACAAGACTTATACATATAATATTAGTAAATTAGTTATTTATCGAAATGACATTATAAGCTTAATAAATAGCGAAAAATATATAAAGTTTTTAGCGCGTCTTTTGATAGCAAGACAAAGCTTTATTTTAAAAAGTCAGATAATACTAAGTTCTACTAAGTACGCTTTACAAACGCCATTCTATATAAATTATTACTAAAAGTCGAGGAATGCACTGCGATCTATGGTCTATTGTTCTCACATTTTTACTATATTCTTAACATTGTAGCGCTATAACATTTTGATTGACGTTATAAGATGCTTTTTTTACTGCGCTTACTAGTTTTCTGCAACGAGAGTGTCCTTAAATATTGAGATCAACTTGGAATTAGTGTTTTATGAAAAACTAATGCAGTCCAAAAATATACCTAAAATTCACTTGCGAGAGATGTCTGCCGATAATTGATTATTCTTCTTTAATATCGGATTTTTTGATTTTTCGCCTAGATGCTGGACTCCTATTCTCGAGAAAGGAAAAAATATTGTTTATGTAGAACTTTTTTATATTATAATAATAATAAGAGCACTAGACATTCGTTCATAAACTTAAAACAATAAACTCGAGTTCATGGCACATTACTATTCACATAGTAATGGCAATTTTTATGAATATTATTTATAATTATATTTAACAATCAAATAATCAATGATAATATAGTCTAGAAGTTTGTTCAACAACGCAAAACTAACAATAAATCTATATTACAACATAACTACTACACATAACATACTACAAATAAAAAGTCTTTATTTTACTTCGACTCCTCATAGTCTGCATATTGGCACAGCACTGGTTTACAAATAAGTATTACTTGATATTTGTATATACAGTGACATTTTTTGATTGAGCTGCCAAATAATAAAAGCCACAACAAATGAAAAGTTAATTAAATTTTAACTTCAATTCGCGGTTACCAAAATTTTATTCAAACTATTGCTGACTTAATGAATAATATACAAAACTGCCAATCAAAAGCAATTGCAAAAATTTGGCACGCGCTTTACCAAACAAAAATTCATACATACTTAGGTACAAGTATATAGACAAAAACATGCACATGCACTCATACCTAAGCAAGTTATTAGTATGAGGATCTAGTCATAAAATCAAAATAAAAACATTAAGAGCGCTCCGCTCCGCACTGCTCCATTTGTGTCTATTTAGTCACGTATGTATTTGTTTAGGTAATTAACATAGTATATAATCTTTTTCGTGTAAAACCGACTTTAAAACGGCAACTGTTCAAGGTGCGGAACTGTTCAAGATCGGCGGACATGTGTTGATAGGGAGCATGCATTAGTTTATCTGAAAAATATGGCTAAACAAAATCAACCCCAACGATAGGATCCCGGTGCTCATCGCGTAAAACCAAATATTCACATTGTATCAAATCCTGGAAAAGCCCCAAGAATATGAAAACGACATCGCATTATCTGAGCTTCATATATCTGCAAAATTAGTACGACTTTCCAAAATGACGTTGGGAAATCTGCCAAAATTGGTCTGGCGTTTTATGTGTGCAAGACGAAATATATGCTGGCTAACAACATGAATGTAAGAGAGAATGCGATAACAGCTGTGAACTATATATTCGAAGCAATTATGGAATTCGTTTATCTTGGAGCTCAGTAGGATAACCTAAATGCCTGTAGATCCCTCTCTCGACAGACAAAATCAAAACTTGACAAGCCCATCATAGTACCCGTGCTTCTTTATGGCGCAGAATCTTAGACAATGTCAAAAAATAATGAGCTGGCGATTGGAATGTTCGAAAGAGAAGTCTTTGGTACTTTACGACGACTATCAAATCCCGACAAACCATGAGTTGCACGAGCCGTACTAGGACTTTGCCATTAAATAAACGTGCTGAGGCTGCGTTGGTCCTATGTCCTTTAGCCTACTATTGGCTCGACCAAACCTCCAGTAATGATATAAGCGTACATATTCCAGGGATTCATTTAAACTGACAATACTTTACTGATACAAAACGTATCAAAGCAACCTCTACGGGTGTCTGCAAGGGTTAAACCATTCCAAGAAAATATTCCTAGAAGAATTAATGTAGTTAAAAGGTGTTCCAGATTTTTTCTTTTATTTTGAAAAATATATGGAATAATCTCATTATAATGATATTAAATCTTCTCATCAACCTATATCTTACACAGAGATTATTATGTGTGAAATTTTAATGAAATTTAGTATAAATCTCTTCAATACATATTATAATATGGTGGCTAACTTAGATGATATTGGTTCATAGGTTCTTCCCCCTAATAAGTTGAATATACTATTTTGTACTAATCAGGTTCATAGTAGATATTTGAAATTCAACCAACTAAATTCTCAAGGTCTATTACATTAATTACCAACGCCATAATAGCATAGAATATATATTGTGCTTTTTTATGCTCTGATCCCGCTGTGGAAGAACTAATCTACCAAAATGGATGATAGAATACAAACCGGTTTATTTACAAACATACCAGCTTTAGTCTTCAGAATTACAATATTGTAATCCGTTAGTTTGTATAAGCAGTCTACAGCCAATAAAATACAGAGTTTATGACCCCTTTATGGCACAGTGGGCGATGTCTCTCGTCGCTAGCATATTTTAGCATGCGAATTCTCAAACACTTAATTCGACATGAACTTAAAATACTCACGACAAAACATAATACAAGTTGACTGAAAACTACACCCGTTTGTTCTTTTATGGCTTAATAAAATTATGCACATCAATTAAATAGCAAATGCATACGAAAATTCTCCCCAAACCGGTTATCGCTAATCTGAGTTGTAATTAGCCGCTAGGAAGCGCGCCAGTTAAGAACCCGTTATACACGATATTTAAATATATTAAGAGACAATCTGTAAATATCTATTTGCTAATCACAACAACATATGCGAAATAACTAACGGGTTTGTTATTTTTAACATTTTTAACGAAATTTTATTCAAATTCCACTGTATTTTTTGATTTCATTAAATTAATGAACCTATGTCTAAAAGAGATGCTTAAGCCTATGGAAATATTGCTTGCTTTAATAGCTTAAATTAAATATCTGCTTTGTTGTTGGTCTGCTGATATTACAACGACTTAGCGTGATTGATAATTTACCAACCACCGCTGCCACCCCAACCGCCTTGGCCGCCGCCACCACCGCTCCAGCCACCATGACCGCCGCCATAGCTGCCACCACCACCGCTCCAGCCTCCGTGGCCGCCGCCGTAACCGCCACCTGAGCCGCCAGAGTTCAAGACTTTAACGATGATGACCTTACTGCCGCCGCCGCCATGACCACCAGAGTAACCACCGCCATGACCGCCAGAGTAACCACCGCCATGACCACCTGAGTAGCCACCGCCGCCGCTACTCCAGCCACCATGACCACCTGAGTAGCCACCGCCACCACCACCACTGCTCCAACCGCCTTGGCTACCGCCGCCGCCGCCGCCACCGCCTCCGAGCAAACCGCCCAGTTTCTGCTGAAGCAAGGCGCCAATACCGCCAGCACCACCGCCGCCGCCACCACTGCTCCAGCCACCGCCGCCACCACCACTGCTCCAACCGCCTTGGCCACCACCGCCGCCGCCGCCAAGTCCTCCCAGTAGACCGCCCAAAGAACGTTTCTGCACACTATGCGCCTGACCACAGGCAATAAGTGCGGCGGCAATGACCACAATACAAGCGAACGGTTTCATCTCAACAATCAACTCAAGCCGAATTCGATATATCAAAAAGCAAGATCAAGATCAAGATCAAGACTAATGGATCGAGTGCTGACGCGCAAACCTTTATAGGCGGCAAAGAAACCAAAAGAAACTATGAGATATGCAAATTCAATCGATATTCAAAGCAAGAAGTGACTAAAATAGCGCCAATAGAACTATGCGCGCCAGCCAAGCGTCTGATAAGAGCGGCAGTTGCGCGTTAGCAGGTGCGAGAAGGCAATACTAATTTGGCATTTTATTTGAGATTTAAAACCAAACAATGCAACAACAAATTGTGCGTTCAAATATTTAATGATAGTTCAGTTGGTCAAACAATAGAACAGTGAGGCTGCGCATGCGCGAAGCTACCGCAAATCGACGCGCGGGTAACCCGTTTGGTTATGCTTCAAACGCGCTGCAACTTGGCAGCACTGGCGCTTGGCAATCGTGGCATCGAACTTGATTCGCTTAAATAAGTAAATAAACAAAAACAAAAAATAAATTATTAAAAAATTTGAGAATAAGAGCTGGAGTGAATATCCAAGCGCACACGTTTTTACGCTTAATTCACTACAATCAGCCATCTTAGATGCTGAAATGACAACGCGAACAGGTGAAACATTTGGAAGAAAACATATTTGACTGCAAAAAAGTATTTATTTGTCATTAAAATGTTTTCGCAATAAATTTGCACGTCATTATCACACTGAATGACACTTGATTGGCTTTCGTACTTAAAATAATAGCGGTCATTAGCACAAATGAATTTGTTTGAAATAAAGAAAAAAAAATGAAAAATTCTGAAAAAAATATATAAAACAAAAACATAAATATATAAATAAAAATATAGTAAAATTGGAATTAGGTCGAGTAGGAAGCTGAAAATCTCATATGTTAAACTAAAAATGGGTTGAAAGGGTTTAATGGTCTTTTTATCTATTTTGAGAATCATATAGAGGTTAAACGCGGGACTAACGGCTTCTTTAGGCATTCAATTTGCTTGAAATTTTTGTTGGTCAAACGAAATCACGAGTGAAGGTCGTGAAATCATCCAAAATTCGCCTCGTGTGAGTCGTCCATCTACCTTTGTGGAGCTAAATCAAAATAATATCGAAAAAGCTAAATAAGCAGTATTTGAGAATCGTCGTAATAGCAGCAGAGAGATAGCAAAGGATCTCAATATCTATGGATCGACTCAACACAAATTGGTTAAAGTTTTGGGTATAAAGCGCGTCAATGTTAGAATCGTATCAAAAAACCTGAATATCCTACCCTACTTTCATTAATCCCATCATTACTGGCGACGAAACACGGGTTTATGAATATAACGTCTGAACTATCCAATAGCCTAGCAAATGGCGCTCTGAAATTGAGCCGACACCGCCAATGGCATATAACAAGTGTATGGAAAATTGGATTAAGCTTTGTCATGTTCGTATTGGCTCAGGAGTCTACTTTGAAGGCATTATAAAGAAAATTTTGATTTTTTCTTCAAATTTCATCAAATACGGTATATGTTTTTATGAAATTACTAAAAGCAGAGCTTCTGAATGTGTTATTTTTATTGAATAAAGAATTGAGCTACATATACTTGTATTTTTATGTTATGAAGCTTTTGCTTCGCGATATGAATGCATAGGAAGTCACCTTCCTTCCAAGAGATAGAGAATCATATTCAGAATCAGAATGAAAGCGGGCGGGTGAAATAATTTACATCGATGAAGTATCATCCAAGCTTTAATTGTTATTACAATTATAGTTTGATTTGAAACCTGTCACTTCAAATTCATTTTTTTTTTTGACTCGAAATCTAACCGAACTCTCTTGTTGATATTATTACAAAAAGTAGCAACGTTTAGTTCAAATTAGGCACATGCGAGTACCTACAATTTATAAATCTTCAACAGAAACTACCTGTAAATTAACAAACATATGCCATCATTTACTCAAGGTCAAGTAAACACCAAACAAAGTTACACATTTCCGGATTATCAAAACACTGTGTGTCTTTAGGTTAATAAAGCGCTGAGTTAAGCCAAAACCGGTTAACCCGACACATTGACCGTTAAACGTAAATGAGTACCGAAACGTTAAGGTTTTCGATCTTTTTCTGGGTATTTGCCTTCTGCTAATACAGAAAACGTGCTGCTAAATTGGCAGTGAAGAAGCGCGTGCAAAAACTGCAACATAACAAAAAAGATACAACAATAACGGCAACATTATCAAAGTGATGAGCCTATGCAATTTATGAATGAATTTAAATGCGAATAATGTGTGTCACTAAATTTTATATTGTCTTTTATAACACAATCTTCTTACCGGTTTCGCGACAGCAGATGTGTTCCAAAACAACTGTTCATAAATAATAAGTTTGGCAACTTTGATCTGAAACAATTTTATTATGTGCATTGCAAAGCAGTAATTTTCATATTTTTATTGGTAATTATTATGCTGAGGTACAGTGTATCAAAAAGTAATGCAAAAAACAAAAAAAATAATAATACTAATTAAAAGTGTTGCCTATAAGTATTAAAATTTACTATTAGTAGTTTTCTTTACTGTAATTTATTCCCCTTTTATTTTTGCGTTGGTAAAAATTTACACCAAAATCACCCTAAATGTAGGCAACACAAATTTCAGATAGCAGTAATAAATAAAAGTGGTTGCCTACATTTTAGCGTTTTCTTAAATGTATATCAAAGGAGTTTTAGACAAAGTCGAAATGCAATCAATTAACAATTTTGGTCCAGCTTTAGACGAAACGTACATAATTTGCAAATTTACGAAATTGTTGTTGTGAAAAGCCTACAAAAAATATTGTCATATTAACAGAGATATATCCTTCAAAATAATTTTAAAAAATTTAATGATTACTTACATTCAAAAGTTACTTCTGTAATTTGATAATTAAATAATGTAAAAAGTATAAAAAGGTTTTGATAATACATATTCTTATCTTTCAAATAATTTCTTCATAAATATTCTTTTTCAATAAAAATTTATTTATCGCTATCATGGTTATACCCTGCACAAGGCATATTAAGTTTGCAACGAAGTTTGTAATATCTAGAAAAAAAGTCGAAGACCATAATGTTAATATATAACTGATCAGCATGACGAACTGAGTCGATTTAGCCGTATCCGTCTTTCTGTCTGTCTGTTTGTCTGTCGGTATAACGCAAATTACATAGTCCCTCAATTTTTTAGATATCGATCTGAGTTTTTACACACCTACTCTTCCTATAAAGAGGCTATTCATTTGTCGGAATCGCCGATACTTGACAACTGCCATTAAAATTGACCGATTCAAGTCGAGTTCTTGTATGGAAAACTTTTTTATTTTACAATATATCTTGGTGAAATTTGGCGTAAATTATTGTCTAAGGCAAGCCTACAAGCTTCAAATAAATTGTTCAATTCGGATCCCTATAAAATACAGCTGTGAAGGCTATTATACCTTCGGTGCAGCCGCAGTTAACGTATTTTCTTATTTTTATCTTTAGATTTTATTTCCCTAAATTATATTGTATAATTTCATTTTTTTATATTTTAAAAGCATTTTTTCCTTCAAAATAGTTAATAAGTTAATCTAGCGTTTCTTTTATATGGTTAAAATTTTTAATTTTTAAAATTTTCTAATCAAAATTAAGACCGTTCATAAGTTTTAATTGCAACTACGAAGCTGTATACTTTTTTAAACACTTTACAACTTCAAATAAACCGTAAATTTGCTAAGATCTATACTATACTTATGTATGTATATTTAGATATACTTGTACAAGTATGTTTTATGTTCATACACCACATAATTAGCATATCACTGTCGAAAGGCCTAAATTCGTAATTCCAACAGTTAATTGATTGATATTTGAAGTTTGTCGGCACTTTTTGACTAAACTTCTCTTATGTTGGGTTTTTGTTATAAATATAAACGTAGATATACTTTTTTGTGACCATATGCTCTTTGTCTTAGCTTTTGAATCAAAACCGTTTGTTTTCTTTGCAACCTCTGACCTTAGCGGACAAGCTTGGCCTCAAGCGTAGATACTAATTATTCGTGGCTCAAAGCTTTCGCAGGCGTTATTTACTTTGTCATTCATGGTAGACTCTGCCGTCGGTCTACCGAGCGAATCTATATTGATCATCAGCAATCATCTGCAAGGTTTTAGCTACAGATATACAGTCATCAGTTATATATAAATAAATATATATGAAAATGTAAATGTAGATTTATGTGAAGGGAAATTAATGAGAGACTCTGTGTCGCCAAAGCATTTTCGTGCGCTTCCGTAATACCTTAGCCGGTTTAATTAAGTAATTGCTTACTATTCTTGTTTATGTATAAATACTCTTTTATATTTGTCTGACTAGTTTGGTAAATAGTTTTATGGCAGTTATTAACATTTTATAAATATTTGATTTTACAAATTTAAGGTAGTAAAGAGTTTAGTTATCGCTAACAATTATACTTTTAATCAATTCAGCTTTTAAATGGTTTCAGATTGTAGTTCAAATAACGATAAAATGTGAGAAAAAAAATTTTATTGGAAAAATACACATAAACTTCGAATTAACTACAGATTCCAGGCTTTTCAGTCGAAACTGAAACGGTTTAATTTACTTCATCTGGTGTTGTGATACATAGCTGATTTGTTAAATATATGAAGACAGCATAAAAAAATAGCAGATATAACAAGGTTGGGGAGCAAGTCTGTATATTAAAGGGTCAACTTAAAAAAATTAATAAAAATATATTGCAAGGAAGCAAAATATATCGAGATGATAACAATAAATATGTTCACTGCATTGCATTTAGTCATCATCTTTTATTAAGCTTCCTTGTAGCCAAAACGAAGCTTAATATTTAATATTTTAATAGCTCAAACGTACTTATAACCCGCGCTGACAAGTATACCCACAAGCACACATGTGTACTCGTACATATGTTTGGCTATATATAAATAAAAATTACGCTTGGAATTTCTACAACTTCCGTAAATGGCTCCGGAAAAAGACACGCTAATATTCACTATTTACAAAATCTAGTTAAAAAGCCATAACCAATTAGCAAAACACAAACAAATTGAGGCGAAATAAACGCCGGGATTAAATTTGACAACTAAATACGTGCGCGAAATAATAATATAATAATAATTGGCCACAAATGAGAA